CAGGCAAGGGCTAAGAAACACAGGACCCGCAAGCGGATTGCGTTGCTAGTCGCGCCTGTCGACTCCGTTACTACTTCGGCGCGGTAACCTCAACCTGCAGCCAGTAGCATAAATAGAGCCAAAAGCAGCTATCGACAATGTGGTTATTTTTCTGCGAACTAGCAGATTTGAGTCGGCCAGCCAGCGGGTGTTTATACACATACAAACACGAAGTAATTGCTGCTTACATTCATTAGAGAACGGATACGAACTCTGATATACAGAGATAGACAGAACAGAGGGCATGAGCTGAACACACTGGCATAAGCATTTTGACCGCGAGTATGATCGTCGCAAGTGACACGTTCTTGCTTATATCAGGTAAAGAAGGTCAGCGTCCTTTCTGGCTATTCCTGTTAATACAGCAGTTTTGATGGAAATCATATAATATACAAGCGGCAGCTGCAGCAAAACGAGCGCCAGGATCTCCCAATCCCTGCGAAGCGTGACGCCCAGTTCTCTTCAATGTAACCAGCAGGACGTTCGGAGGAATATCTACTAAATAGTAAACTACTACACAGTAGTTCAAAGCTACTGCTCGACAAATGTGCCGTTGACAAGTGGCGTTTCGCGCATTATCGCTGGCTTCTTCTGGAAATCGTATTGTTGGTTTTTCGTCAGCGAATTATATCTGGTCGTAACGAACGGAGTGAACAGCTACGCGGGAGAACAGCTTAGAAAAAAGAGGCAGGATAATTGGATAAAAATAGTTACTTATGATCTGGTCCTGTCATTTAAGGCGCGTATCGGATCGGTCATCTGACGATTTGGGCAGGATGACAAATGGCCAAACGATAAATTGATGCCTCTTGTAGAAAAAGAAATGTATAGTTACACATTTTCTTGAAGCTAGGCGAGCAACATTTTCCTTTATTCGAAGACAAAGTTTTCATTTTTCACACATGCCGGAACCCAAAAATTGCTTGCGAATGATATTTAACTTACTCTTACTAAAAGTAACATGCAATAGTCCTTTTACATATACTGGGGTCCCGTTTATTGGTCTTCGGAAAGGCAATGTTGTGCGATTCTGGGCGGTGTTCTTTAATGGCAGAAGACTTGCGCAAACTCGTGCCTTTCTCCACCTAGGTCAACATTTTTTTTAATATCATTTCAGCCAACCTACATTTAAATTTCGCCTAAAAAAAAGATCCTAGTTCCATTCTAAATGCTACATGTAAACAGCGACGATTATTTATACTTTGCAGTAACCAACTAAACTACCATAGTACTAATTTCAGTCCAGCGTTCAGATGCTAAACGTAAAATAAACCATGCCGAATACCAACGTACCGCACGCGGCGACCATAACGATTGTTACTGTGCGCTTGATCGTTGCACGACTAGTGATTTCGTGTCTGAGCTAGTAATAACAACCACACGATTGTAAGATAATCATATAAAATAATTGCCCACTGTGGCAAGTGCATTGCACGCGATCTTGAGCCACCGGGGCAGTTGGAAAAAGACGCCAAGCGCAAACTTTGAATTCGCTAATTTCTTCAGCCGAGTTGGTCGTCGTTCAACTTTTGTCGTTGATACCAGCCACGGCATCGTCGCTTCAGCAGTCATTATGAACATATATGACTTTGGTCATATAAAGTTCGAGTTTTCGCTGTTGAGTTTCACTCACTCGATGGCGCCACCGTCGTAGCCATGGATGTCCATTTTTTTTTGGTGTGTCTGCGTGCAGCGTTTGCCACGCAACGTTCCTCCGCCGTAACCGAACCCAGAACTTGCACGTGCTCAGCCATTGTTGACAGCGTCGAGAAACAAAAAGAAAATCGTTTTTGCCAAGATCATGATGGAATTCCACTTCCTGTTCTGTTCACCGCGGCAATTTGTGGTCGCGGAACCGATGGGCCGAGAACCCCAACGAGCGTTGACCCAACGGCGTAGAAAAAACGGAATTTCAATCTCAGCCATTCAGCGCTACTTACCACGCCAGTTCTTGTATCGCCTACGCTTTTACTTACGTATGGAAGGCTATTCAGATGCGAAGGCGCAGCGGTAATTTTTTCCTGGCGCTGCCATTAGGACAACTGCTACTTTCGTTACTCGTATTATAATAGTGCTTTTATGATTGCGTCATATTCGTCAACAACTTGGATCACATTAATAGCCATAGTAAATTAGAGGCAGAGGGCGAGAAGCGTTATCCGACTGTCTTTGATTGCTCCCGCGCGTGTAGTGAATGTGAGAAATCGGACAAAGGTACGACAATGAAAGGGGGTACGAGGGGACTGACTTGTAATCAATTTCCAATCGATGGTAATGTTCGTTGTAGTGTTGGTTGTCTGTCTGGCCGCCTATCAGAAATTGCTGCGATTGGCGGCTCGTAAATTGTACCAGCCAGTGAGGAGGGAAAGAAAGGACGTTGAGGGTAGGGGAGGGAATACAACGAAGGTAGGACAGACGGAGAAATTCCTATGCAAAGTTTACGAAGTTGACTTGAATTTGGCTCTCGGCGTGTTGTGGGCTGGGGAATCCAATGAGGCACAAACGGTCGCCTTAGTAGCAAAATTGTTTGTGATTACCGGGCAGCAATAGCTCGCGGAACTTGTCGTTTATTGTTGTTGGCAAGTCGACTGCGTAAATCAGTGTACTACTGGAAAATCCAATGATGCTCCATAAACTGCAGATATTAGATCGACTGATATTGGCGGACACTTGGAATAAATCGTTGTTTTATAGACCGGTAACGAGTATTTGGAACACAACTAGAGATTTCGATGGACGAACTTCAATAGATATCTATTATAACTTAATTTAAATTATCCATATGCTCATTGCAAGTTGGTTCGATGTTACAGTTAAGTAGTTCCATTAGAACTTGTTCCATCCTGTAGTGGTTTCCTATTAGCAGTCATTGAATCGCGGTGTGTATATAGATGATTCGCTTTCCAAATAAAAACAGTCAACAGCAAGCATCAGAAAATCAGAACTCCTCGCTTCGGAGGTAATTAGCAAGTGGATGAAGTCTGAAGTACGAGCGTGCACACTTTCCTCACAAGCCTCAGAAATGGATCAAAGCTCCATTTCTGAAGCTAACGAAAGATTTATTAGAAACCCATCGTAAGGGATAAGGTTGAAGCAGAGAAGTTTGCTTCCGAAATGAAAAACTCGTGCTAAGAAAAAGAGAGCAATGGCAAAAAGGGTGGCTCTTTACGACGAGCAGATATTGCTCTTTACCGCGATCATTTGTCGCACGTACGATTCAACAAGCGTAAAAGGTAATACGTAGAAGTTGTGGAACCTCTGTGGGTGTCATCTGCCCACGTAGTCACACCGCCCCAGTACTGTAAAAGCCCGCTGTAAACATGAACCTATGTATAATATGCGTAATTTATGTGTAATATGCTCGTATATTCTTGCCTGTCAGCCAGTTGAGATGATTCCTACAAGTGCTATTCGGTCTAAAAGGGTTCTCTTTTTTCGGTCCTGTCGCCGATTTGCGGCCACGACGACGTTGTCGTCGTTCAATTATCGTCATGGCCAAAGATGCTGACCGGGGCACACTATGGGGGTCACTGTTACTCCGCAACGGCAGCTGTTGAGGGTGGCTTTATATATCAGAATAAGCCATTGTCATCGCAGAAGAAGGCAGAAACTTTTTCTCTGCCTACCTGTTTTTGTAGATGATTTTCTAGCCTATTCTTATTTCGTTATCTTCGTCAACCCAGCTCCGAAGACCGTTGTCGCTGGCAGCCTTGCCTATCAAACCAGTCGACTAACGGCTCTTTTCAGCTGAACTAAGACTTCCAACTGGCTCGAACCAAGTAAGCTTAGCTCACAACCTTTGGCAGCCGTAAGCAAATGGGCGGTCCTGCTGCTTCGTGCCTGGACCGCCGCCCAAGCCTCTATCGATTCTGCCGCCTTCGAGCCGTTCTATCACAGCAACGCCGAGCGCTTGAGGTACTACCAGAACGTAGTGCTAACAATCGCGGAGAGAAAGAGAAAGGGGGAAGGGGCATAACGCGTACGACTGAAGGCATAAACCGCACGGCGAGAAGGCGGCACACAGATTAGGGTCGACACGTAGCCGTACAACTTTGTTCGTTTCTCCAGTTCTTCTGTTCTAGGGTTTCGAGGAAATGAAAGGCATCGGCAGCAGTCGCTTTTGTCGAGGCAAAGCACCGATATCGGGACTTTCATCAGCTCGTACCACTCGCAGTCAGCGGTACGTCTACCGCCGCCAATGCTGGTCGTACAGCTCGACCAAAGAGAAAACAGATATTATTGCAATTTAATTATTAGTTCTCTCCCGCTCCATAATAAATCATGCATAATTAATTGGTACTGGTCTAGCGGCTCCAGAACTACGGCAACGGTAGTAAGAAGGCGAAAAGGGCTATGGGAAACTGAATGTGACGGCACGCATAACTGGCAAGAACATTCATACGAAGTTATCCAGCGCTAAGGACATGCGTGCTTGGGTGAATTGCTCAGACACCGCACGCGTGACAGAACCTAGGAAAAGGAAATGGGCGGGGGAGAGAACGACGACCACGGGCTGCCTGGCATAGACAGAATGGCAGAGTGACGATAGCGCAAGCAGCCGAGAGACAGCAGTCTCTAACGCGAGCGAAGTACCGCTCCTAGTCGTTATCATGATGAGTAAACGACTACGGAAAAGCTACATACACTATGGCTGAATCAGTTAACTAGTTTGTGTGGGATACAGGTGAAGTATGTTCCTGGCCAATAGTAAAGTTATCGTTATTGTTAGCGATAGTTGGATGTTTCGTTACGTGGATATGGTGATTTGGAAGTTAATGTTTCATCTACGAGTTGGAATCCTATAGCAGAACGACGAATCATTATGGAATGAGGCCAGTCAGAAAAGAAGCCTTGGATATATAACATTTATAATGTTTATTTCGCGTCCGCACACAACTTAGGCGAACATACTTCGGGCTTCAATTACATATGTTTATATAATAGGCAGAAGACAAAAATCATTGAATGTATGTAACATGCATCGTCGCACTTCTCCCAAATATCAGTATCTAATAAACTGTACAAGTAATCCCACTAGTCCACCATAATAACAAGTCCACTTAACAGATCGGGTAATCTGCTCAACATGGTCTGTCACTCGATACAGTCGATGCTACACAAAGCACTCCAAACACACGTATCGGCTAATCTTCACCCACAGATTTACTTTCTGTCTATATATATAATTGGTCTCGTTACAAGCATTTATGTCAACAACATAATGTATGTATCCCTTCAAATGTAATCTATTTGAATTGCACTAAGAATAAATATCAACTCGGGCATTAGAGAAAGACATAATCTTTATGCTTCATCTGAGTCCCGTCTACTACAACATGTGGTATCCAATCTGCGGGTTAAATTGACTGACAAACGGGAGTCCTCCTAACGTCCGTTGTTGGCACCCGGTATTGGCAACAGGTGTTGGCAGAAATCGATTAGGCAGCCCGTAGAAGGGATTGTGTGGATGATGCAACGCGCTCATGGGAACAGTACCGGGTATCCCTCGAAGCCTGTTGAAGTTTTCGTAGCTCTGTGAGATGAAGTCGAAATATGTAGGAGGGGCCATTTTTGCGGGGAGCCTAGCCGCACCGGCCACCGTTGGGGTTTGAGGCACTTCGGTGTTGAAATCGTACGTCGGAGGCGAAGTCGATGATACTGAATGAGGCGAAAGACTTGCAGGGACCGGCGGGCAAGGCAGGGTCGTGAATGGAAACATGGCACGGTGAAGTGGTGATGGCGACTCGGATAGTGAGGTTGTGGATACATCCGGGCTCGCGGACTGTTGCCGTCGCTTCGATACGCTTATCATCGTTGGGCTAATTGGCTCGTTTCGAATCGCTTCCTGGCCGCATGATCGCTTCACGGGATTCCGACGATCTTCCTCACGAAAGCCCTTTGCAAAAGGGTTATTTTTTATTTTAAGGTTGGTCACGCCGGCGTTCTGGTACGCCGTCACAGCCATAAACGAGGTCTCGTGAAAGCTGAATGTCGTGAACTTCCGCGACGACATCTGCGCAATATCGCTGCCGGCGAAAATACGTAGCCGAGGAATATATTTATGCATCGAATTCAGTGTGATGTGACTTTCCGAGGTTGTGTTACTGTTTGTTAATTTCAGCTTGTTAAAACCGATCGATTGTGACATCCATTTGGAACCAAGAGCTGGGGAATCGGGATGCCGGTACAAGTTGGATTTATGCTGGGGCATATCACTTTCGTACGCTGGCAGCCAGCATTTGCCAATAAATTTGTACCTATACGTGTCAGCAGGAACGATGTCCAATAGAACGATGTAATATTGCTGGGGGTCGAGCCCACTGATCTTGAATTTGAGATCAGGGAACATCCGGCGGCCTGGCTTTGTAATAATCATTTCGGTACCGCACTGGTAGAACTCTGTCCACAGCGAACGATTCTCAAGCTCAACCCGAACATTGGCCATTGATTCATCAAAAACTTCGACCATTGGATCCATCGTAGTCATTTTGTTAGATAGTCCTTTCAAAATCGTTCCTCTTAGCGCGTGTTATTAACTTAATAACAGTGTCGATCTACGAAGAACAATAACGGTGACGAGGAGGAGCCTTACTGTGTGCTTCGGTAACACCGGCTCTAATCACGGCACGAACGGCAAAAACAGCAATGGTCAACAAAATTCAACTCACAACAGATACTCAGGGCGCCGAAAATCACATTCGGTTATCGGTGTTTTTGTTTTTACACTTTCAATAAAATTCCGACCATTGTATTCATTACGATAGTTGGTTAACATTTCATTGTGTGGCTCCGTCTGTCCATCCACTTCGAGCCCAGAGTCAACAACTATTAGCTTGGGTCACTGCTCATAGCTTTTTCAATTGTCTATGATATGGCATCGGCACCGATAGGCTCGCCAATGAATCGTCTCCTCGCAAAAGATGATGCTTACACTGTGGCTCCTGTTAAGCGAACTGAGATTTCTGTAGAGATCCTGCGGCCTTAAAATAAACGATACCCTGTGCCCTTTCCCTTTCGAACACGGGTTGTAAAACAATAGGGAGACTTAGAGCAGGCGGAATTTTGTCTTTAATCTCGCCGGCCGGCAATGCGCTTTGTCCGCAGAAGGCGGCGGACTCCAAACGCTTGTTCAAAGGTACCTAACTTAATTTCACTTAGCTCAACATGGAGTTTATTGACAAGTCTGCCAATACAAATGACCGTATCGATGCATACGTATATAGCTACAACAAAGACTATATCACCTTCAAAGACACGAATTTCGCCATAACTAACTTAGTCACTTACCAGATCACAGAGCCGAGACCCTTGCCTCAGAGCCGGCTGAAAGCGGCAATGATTTTTTTTTTGGGTATTTTTCTACTCACTTTTAATAGCTCTGTAATGCTACTACCTATCTATTAGTGTCTTATGAAGATATCGATATTATTTAGTATCCGAATAATCTGTCACACTTTGGTTTGCGGCAGGGACCTAAATATTTTGTATTGTAAAAGACTGAAATTAGAACATATCTGTCATCTGTCAGCAATGGACAATGCCGGACTATGTTTGTAATCCTGAAATAGCTTTTTCTATAAACTAAAAGCAATTGTTCCTGAAGACTGCCTAGATTAAGCGAACATCTAATGATACAATGTGTAGCATTCTTCCTTAATCGACTATAGCAACATCATTGTAGGGCTATTGCAAGGTAATTGCCCATCACGAAGCTAAAAAACGCATTATTTCTTATGTCCTAAGCGAAGGAAATTATAGCCAATCCTTCACATTGGCATTTTTTTCTCTATTACGTTTGATCAGAGGGCAGAAATGAAACCAATGCCATCCATGAAGCGGGCTGCTCTAAAGAGACTATTCGTCATTTTCAAAATAGGCATATTTATATGCTTATCTTCCATATCTCATCTTACTTACCTTACCGGCTAGATTTTCATTTGCGTTAATCGACCTCGTTGCAGCCCACCAGCATTTAGTTCAATTGATTTAAGTGCCTGAGTTTACGTAAACAAAGTATTACGACTCTAATAGTATCATCTGTACGACAGAAGCGACAGAGACATTGCGGAATCAGAATCCGATTTCGAGTCGGGACCGGGTTTTTGTCGTTTAACTCTTGCCCCCCCGTCTAACATCACCAACTAAAAGGTCGTTACCGATAACGTACATGCTTCATGAGCAACATATGCCATCATTCGTCGTGTTATCTATCCATTGAGACATCATAAAAGACGAGCTTTACGTTAAAGTACCGCTTATTTTATTCTAATTTAAATTTGCCCCATCAAGTCATATAGATCTGCCATTTATGATATCGTATGAAAGCTAGTAAAGGGTTTGCAGATGTTATACGCTTAGTATTAGGAGTGCATAGACATATATTTTTTTTTATGAATTCATGGTCAAACGTTTTAAATTCTCTACGAGTGTTCTATGTATATTCAATTGTCAAGTATATATAATTTTCACTGAAATAATAATTACCAAATAAATACGAATAATTGTGTTAAGCAATTGTTCCTGCTTTGGGCAACGTGAGACCCAGAAAATATTTTTCTCATATTAACATGTTTGGAAAATAGATTTGTATCTGTGTAGCCAGACAGCAAAATTGGCCAATGCTTTGCAAGAGAAGTCAAAATACGCAATCGTTGAAAACCCATTCTTGACCTCACGAAGTCCACGTTACCCCACTCTGTCCTCTATCATCTGGCTGCTAAGTGCTAAAGAGATCCTTGTTCATTAGTTTTAATGGGACAGCCATTGTATATCCGACTATACGTCTACTATCGCCACAGTTACAGCAACTGTTGGCAGATTCGTATCGGAGAATGATGCTTTCGGTGACTGACGGTCGGCAGACCCCGAAGAAGGCCCTCATTTGAACCTAGTTTTGTACCGTGAACGCGGCCTGTATCCATTAGTGAAGAGATTAGCTCTCGTTCCCTTGAGGTATTATCGCTTGAGTGCGGGATTACCGCTTAAGTATCACGAGCTTATTCGACTTCATCTCAACTGGTTTCCAAGTAGGAGCGTTTGAGGTGGAGAGAGCGCCTACAAGGCCAAAGCTGCTAGCCCAGTGTCCAGAGCCTATAACCCGTTCTATATACTTATTCGAGCTATAAAGGCAATAGTTGGTCCGGTCATGCCGGTAGTTGACGGAGTGGAGTAAGGGCAAACGGCTCTTATTTCTAACTTGATAACTACGGTGGAGAACAATGTAGAAACATTGTTCTCCACCGTAGTTATCAAAAGGAAACAGTACGGCAGATAAATTTTCTTTATTTCAATGATTCCACTCTGTTCTTTGACAACTTTATATCGTGACGATAAGTTACAGATTACTGTAGACATGTTGAAAGTGTGTTGATATATAGTGTCACGAGAACCCATGGTTACACCTTGCTGAACCCGCTGATGGGGTAGCTGTAAACTACTGTTCGGACGAAATAGAGATTATTAATGGTAATCTGAAATGCTGCACAAGACCATTTGCAACAGGTGTTGCAAAGCTTCAATAACTTGATCGTGCTCTTTTTTGTACCGCAATTACTTCTGCTTTTGATGCCATTGAGGTAACCCAATATGTTGATTTGCATTTGTGTGTCCCGCTCCCTTCGTATTCAGAGGGCCCCGTTTTTTGTCGACTTATTAAAATCGACTAACCTTCCTTCCACATACGTTACGTATGTAACGCCCCATCGCATATGTTCTAACACTGCCAGTTGTTGTTTGTTATCTATAAGGCCCAACGGACGACACGGAGCAGGAGAAGGTTCTGATATGCATTACACCGAAGTTGTCTCTCGCACTTCTACATCTATACAGCGAATCTACGTGTAGCCTTTTTCTACTTACGTTTGCAGGGCGAATTAAGTTCCTCCGAATTCTCTCGACAGCGTTATATTGACGAGCTCCTGCCTGGAGTCAATCTGCTGTCTGACACGCGCGCCTCGCTCTAACTCACGAAGCCTACCGAGGTTCCGGATCTCTAAGTGCTGCGAATTCGTCCCTGATCCTCGATTTCATGATGTCGTGTTCTAGAGGAATGAACATCCAAAAGAGTATACCGCACAACATCAAGAGATTGTATGGAGTAACCGACCTCCAATTCTTGCTGTAATTGAGCGGCAACTCAGTTTTAACTGGCTTTTTGATCGCGCAGCGGCGCCGACGCGCGTGAATTCAAACGATCCATCCATAGTAGCAGGGGAGACCGAACGAGCCGAGTTCGGGTCATGGGCCGGGTTGGGCTGATTGTTCTGGACATCGGCTCTCAGCTCGCGCCTGTCTGATCAGCGGCAACTTCAACCGTTTCGAAGTCGAGCCGCCGTGGGAGGATTAGCGCAAATTCACAAATTTCATGCTTACTCAGAGTTGCTCGAAAAGAGCCAAAGATTTCGTTGCCTGTCGATTTTTACGTTCGCTCTCGTTCAAACATTCGCGCGTTTCTCTTGCATACTATCTGACTCACTTTATAACAAGTAACTCAAATACTGCTAACCATCATTTCGTTGGGTGCTTAATCCCTTAAGATGTGTTGCATGCTAGATAACGAAGAAGTAGTCCGTCACCGAGAAGCAGACAGGGTAGACGCTACGATTTCACGTAGCTAGTCAATTAGGATTAAGAACATGTCAACGTAGGCCCCATTTTTTCATACATAAGACACCTATAGAAAGTTGCAGAAAAGCTCAAAGGCACTTCTAACGATGTCACTATAGAAGTAACTGAAAATCTGTTAAGTGGACTCGGCAAAGTGGATGTTATACTTAGGCTTGTAGTAGTGCTGGAAAAATATGTCCTGTTCTGCATGATGTTAGTGTTTGACGAATTTTATTTACAACGTTTGTAAGTATATTTTCAATGAACTTATAAATTGTATAATATGTGTAAATAAAATATTATTTTTCTCTAACTTGCACACATATATACAAATGGTGTCACTTTTGCCCAAATTTCTATTACTATAAGGTACTGTATTAATTGTCCTGACATTAAGTACGCCTAATTGAAAGATAGAACCAAATTATTTATGGCTCTTTTTTTTTTCTTCGATTTTCAATATTTTTATTTGATCTCAATTGAACATGATGTATGTAATCATGTGAAATATACGGAGTAGGGAGTATTCTATTTCTAATAGCCATTCATCCGGTCACTCAGTAATGCTCGTGCAATACACAGACGAAGTGTCCCTACCAATTAAACGCTCGTTCATTTGGTGGGATTCTGTTTGGCAAAACATCTCTTGCCTTCAGATTAGATTATTTAGCCGGCTGCAACAATCGTCGAGTTCGTCTGTTCCCGAGCAAACCTCATTCTCTGCGAGCACCTTTTGGTACCTCATCTATATAGCATATATTAAACTAAGGTCGGACCGTCACAGTAGCGCCAGGCTGCAATCAATTTCTACACGAAGCAAAACGTTTGGCCATAAACAAACTGCTAGGGACGGCATTATTTCATCCGCATCGTCCGGCTAGCAATGCAGAGCGTATCTGCCGCTATACGTATGCAAAAAAACGCACATACACGCATACATATAGAAACACAGATATATACGTAGAGGTTGAGGGCGGTGGGGGCAATGAAGCCGCCTCTGAAAAAGGCCGCTGTGCGTTTGTCTCACCCTCGCTAAAGAACGCCGTGGTATTAGCCTTGTGCTCTCGACCTGAGCTGTAAACCCGCTATGACTGAAGAAACCACTGAAGATCGTAGTCTATAGGCAGTCGATATTGGCCCGACTGTCGTTTTGTTCAAATTGGACCGCTGCAATTGGCTATTCGACCCGTCTGCTGCATTCACCCGGTTATATCAAGTTGTAGACCCGTTCGGTCTAGTAAAAGCCAGTCGGGGTCTAAGTGATACTGCCGAACTGCGCCTTTCGAGAGCTCACCACATCTATCGGTAGACACCGATGACCGCTCTGATTTGCGATGCTTTGCATGGATCTGAGCCAGCACTACTAACATTTGTGAGCATCACAACTTTTAAGACAGAGAGCAGATATACGGCAGTATCAACATTGATTGTTGGCATCGGCGGAATGGTCCGTCAACAACGTGCCGTATTTCTAGCAATGCCTCTACTCGATATAGAAAAAGGGGCTATAAGCGAGTGGCACGATCTCATCAGAGGATCGATTCGTCCTTGCGGCTGTGATTGATGCTGCTGCTGCCGCTGTCGTGGTCGTCGTCGCCGCTCTTGTTGATCGTGACGACTGTTTTAAACAGCAGCTATCTCTTGCTCTTTGTATGCGGCAAACTAGAGTAGGCGCCAATTGCTGTTTAATCTAGATAGCTAGGTCTGACCAGTTTCTTCTGGTCTCTGTTGAACCTTGCTGTTCGGCTGGTCTTCCAGCCTGTGCGAGTGGGCGCAACTCTTCATTAGAGATGTGCGTGTGTAGAAACGAGGTGTCTGTATCGCAACTATCGACAACTACGTCGATGAGACCCGTAAGGATAATACAATCGATGAAGTTGCTTTCTTTTATGTCGTAGCTCTGGTTAGGTAGATCGCCAGATTGTTGCTCTGTGGACGGCCTCTGCTGTAGACTCTAGTCACAGATACCATCGCTGGTGATCTTTCTGCGGCAGCATCTGTTGGTGCTGCAGCTCTCTAAAACAAAAGGTGTAGCCGTATTGGTCTTAGCTCCATCCCGTCAGATTTCTACGTTGGGTCTCAATTCTGAGATTTGCCGCTGCACTGTCCACGGCACTACACTATTTGGCCCATTGGCGCGGCGAGCGACGTGAAGTCGAAGCCTATACATTGCTGCGGCGTGATAGTGCTGTTGAAGACAGGGTCGAAATTCACTCGCACGTCGATTTAATCAGGACAACAGCAGCAGCGGTGGCCGTAAAAGGAAGGCGGTGCTGTGATGGAGTCAGTCATCGAAGTTTACTGCGGGTAGCTATTTACTTTTGCTGGCCTACGCAGACTTCATCACTCAGCCGCCTGTTATTTGTTCGAGGTTGTTTACAGGTATCTAGGTCAAATGAGATGGCTGTGTGGCTCCACTGACAAAATCAGCCGTCTGCTTGCGATGACGACAAATAAAGCATCCGAGTAGCTTTCGTGTTAAAAAGGAAATGCACTTCATCATGCATCATGGCTCTAATCGGATACGAAAGTAACGAGTAAATAAGGCAAATACAAAAGATGAAAGGCGCAGTCATCCTGCTTACGTATTTTTGCCATACTATACATCCGCCAATATATA